ATATATATATATATATATGCATACGAGTGTGAGTGTCTTAAGCATCCCAGTAGCCACAAACCAAGGTCACTTCTTGATAAGGTGCACGAGCGCATCCAGGCACTGCTGCCTGCGATCTATGGCACGCAGAAAAAAAAGACGTCAGAGCTTCGACAACGCCTGAAGGAGCGGCTGTTCTGACTAAGGTATTGCGACAGGGTGCCACCGACCTGAGCTCGCGCTTTTTCAACCCACACCTCCGTTATCTCTAGTTATCGTGTCAAAGATCTGCAAAGATCCCGACGGCCGCAAGAATGGAACCGACTGCAGCAATCTGCACCTCGCATCATGACAACACTTGGTATGAATGGACATGTAGGTGCAACTAGCATCGCAACAGCATAGGGCGATGGTGCCTTTGAAATGCACATCGTTCTCAACGCCTTGATAGCAGTCGTCCGAGTCACCTTCGGTAAGGTGAAATGCCCGTCGGCTCACCTGCATTCTCACCTGCCAGGCCTCGTTTTTGATACGCTCCACAAAAGATGGCAAACAATCTTGAATGGCAGGCTGGAAGTCTGGCAAGTCCTTCGCGGCTGCAAAACGCACACAAATGTGCTCGGTCTCTTATGCTGACATCTCTGCGACTACTGCAACTTCTGCAGAATCCCTGTCCCCGGTGCACGCAACCAGATGGCCCAAACACTCCAGCGCACTTTCCTTGACCTGACAGAAGGTCGGCCTAGCGATCTTATGGGACTGATCTTCTGGGCCTCCTGGTCAATATCCGTCGCCAGAAGCTTGCTTTTGAGTACCTCTTCATAAGCTGCACCCTGGCGGCCCAGCTCTGCTTGAACGGTGACAAAAACTCACAATACCTCTCCTACTCCATCGACTGGAAGATTATGTGCAAGTTGGGAACGATGCATAGAGAGGGAGAGACAGGTTGAGAAAAGACCGTGACGAAGAGGCGTGGCTATGCACTCTACACAAGTGCAGAAGGCGGTGCACTTCGTAAACCGGCAGCATCACTTTCAGCTCCGAGCTAGCAGCATCCGGGGATGGCCTGCAAAGCTGGAACAAATTCGTGTCGGCAGCACCAGACAGTTGACAGAGGACCCCAAACCCGTTAACCCGTCTAGGGATGTCTGCATCGCATCCCGGCCCGGTGTCACCACTGCGCTGCCTGAGGGTGTAAACAAAGGCCCCGATGGCTCTCAGAGCCTGCACGTGCAGCTGCCGACATGCACGCCCGTAATACAGGACTAAGTTCCTTGCCAGCACCACAATCAACATGATGATCACTCAGAAGACCCAACCGGATTCGGCCTCACTCCTATGTCCTAGAGTCTAGAGCACTCCGAAGGCCTGACACGGCTCTAAGCTGTAGCTGAGACCTTATGTGCTGTTCTCAAAGCCGGTGCAACACCATACGGTGTAGGGTTTAGTATGGCTTTGTCGGGCCCGTACATTGCAAAAGTGTCCGCATCGATTTGTGCTTTCCGTTGCAATGGCACAAGGGCACAGAGTGGACGAGCAGCAAGTGCGGCCTGCGCAATCGACTTGTAGTATGTGTCCGAGCAGCAGGTCAAAAACAATGGACCTCAGAGCATGGGAGCCCAGAGAACAACGCGAAAGGTGCCTCAGACACGTGCATACCCACATACATGCATGCTCGCAAGTACGCAGGCAGGCAGGCAGGCAGGCAGAAAGGCAGAAAGGCAGGCAAACAGCCAAACAGCCAGACAGCCACACAGACATATGATTGTCGTACCAGACTCTCAATCCTGGCATCTTGGCTTTAGGCTGATTCTGGGACTGTCACCAGCGATGGCTCGTTGCTTGCGGCACAGACTCGAGAATGTGTGTGTGCTTGCAGTGCAAAGCTTTTTTGAGGGCTCGTTTCCTCCTCCAAGTGTTTGCAGTCAGAATACCAGCTGGCCACAGCTCCTGCCTTCAAGTGACCTGGCAGAGCAAGCCCAGGGCAGACACCAACTCCACATACAAATGCCGCGTGCTAAGCTCGACAAGCTTTACCTTTGGAGAAGAGCTCTCGTAGCGTGAATATCCGTCACGTATACGTGTATAAGCTCAACTTTCCTTTCATGAAGGTTTTATTGACTGAAGGGATACATGATTCATCAACTCACCTAGTAGCCGTCGGATAGTTCAACTACGACCCAAGAAAGTTTTGGCTGGCCGCTCAAACACTCGATATGGAAACCAGTCTCCTTCAACTCTTCCTTTTGCTGCGGCTGGAGAGGTTGGGAGTGACAGGTGCTAAAATAAGATAGTATCTCAACGATCACCTTCAGAAGAGGGTAGGAATGCTAGAGGAGGGAAGCCGTCTGTCAGACTTTGTTGCAGTCCGGAATTCTGATTATGTAGCGAAGATCGCTGTTCTGCCAACTGCAGGCCGCCCCCCACCTTATCCAATCACGCAGTTGCCGTATGGTAGGTGAGGCCCTCCCCCGCCCTCCCCACCTTAATGCTAAAGGACCTGATGCGAACCCCAATGCGTTCTTGACCCTTTGCCCACTAGTGGAGGTAAATTGCAAATGACAACTCCTGCAAGCTCCACTGGCAAGAATGAACTGACACTGGACGCGATAAGCAGAGACACAGAGGGACATCCCACAACATTAAGAAGCCGCTTGAGTGTGGCAGAAAGGCAACGGTAGGATGACATGAGTCTCGGTTGTTCCATCCACATACAAATTTCCCTCGACATGCATAGCTCAATAAGTATATTCTGGATGTGAAAGACGATGCCAAGTTGTAAATGACATGAGTCGATCAAAAACAGTGCCGAGCCGAGAAATGCTGAAATATAGGAAAAGCTCTGAGAGGGTGTCAGGCGTCAGCTCACGCATGAACATGCACATGCTGTGAAACAGAACGACTGTCCGTGCTTTAAATGGCACAGCCGCTTCGAACAAGTCAATCAAGATATTCCTCACAGCATTTGTCTTCAGGTTGTTGTGAACCTGGTCCGGTATGAACGAATCGCAACGATTGGAAATTGCGAGATTGGAAATCGCAATACTACACTTTGCCCGGCGGAGGATCTTCCGGGAGAGGCGAGGCGAGCACGCGACGGATATTTACATGAAGATTCCCAACAAGGAGTTTCTGAGCCTGGGACATAGCTCTGGAGCTAGTTGCTGAAAAGTGGCGGCCGTCAAGAAGTACTCTGCAAGGTGCCTGCCAAGGTCGCAGGAGACAGTCTGGCACTCATCAGGCACTGCGAGGACCAACCTGCCTGATGAAGACCAAACTGTCGAGTCGCATGGAGGAGTTTGATTCCTTCATAGCGCGGAGAAGCTCATCCTTGACCTGCCCACTTTTTGAATGCACACAAACATCCGGACTGTCAGAATCCTGCCTGCGGCAGATTGGGCTCTACATGCTGTGGAATACACTCAGACCTCGGCACGAAGATGTGAAAGTTGTGCTTTGGCACTGCCTTGCGGTCCACATTGACGAAGTGCCAGGCAGCGTCCGTAGCAGGGTCAAAGCACCCTGCCGCGTTTTTGCTGCCTCTTCATGCAGGCTGTAAACAGTGTCTTGGTGAGTGTTTCCGTGCGCACTTGCATCGGCAAGAGGCCATCACCTTAGAGCGCATCTGCTTGTTCAGCTGCGAGATGCAGGCTGGAATGACGGCGATGAGATGCTGCGAGGTTGGCCGCTCCTGACGCCAAGTGCTGAGGCAGGGAAGTCCGCGGAAAACCGTGCTGGGTTCAGCAAGTCCTTGGGAGGCTGTACACGCTCAACCTGCTGAGGGCAGACAGCCCAGGGCTAACAAAGCTCCAGCGCTCTTAGATCTGCACCTCCAATATAAAGGAGGATGACACTGAAGGCGTTGAATCCATGCTCGTGGCAGCAAGAAAGGAGGGCTGCGTCTGCGACAGCAATTTCAAGTCACGGCTTTATCTCCACACCATGGCATTCAGAACATTGCCTTCGTCACAGCCGCGTGCGCCATCTCACCGAAGGTGGTGAACACATCGAGCTTCACGCTTTCCTCACCTTGACGACTTCTCTGCCACTGGCGCATATGTCCGATTCTGACAACAGAATCACCACGGTGTCTGAGATCCACGCGTTCGTTGAAGCGTGCTATCAATGGCTGAGAAAACTTGGAATAAATCTCATCTAACCTGTCGGCACAAGTGCAATCAACTGTGTCGTCGTGGCAGACTTTGAAGCCGTCAGTCGGATCGATGATGATCTAAGTGGACTTGCCTGTCCGGGAGGCCCTTCACCATCGCCTCCAGCACCTTTCAGAAGGCTCTACCAGTAAGACTCAGCGGGACTCTGCAAACAGGGAACTTCTCGCCTTAAGCGCCGCTCGACGGACTTTCCAAGAGTTGTCATCATCGTCAGAATCCACCAGTCCATCTTCATCGAACTCCTCAAAGCCATCGTCCATCATGGCATCCTTGAGAAGATTGACACTGACAGTGCGTGGCAGTTTACCCTGCTGTGTAGTCGTGTCAGTCCTGGCCATCACCCGAATCGTAGAAATTCGGATCGTACGCCACCAAATTGAGAACGATCCCACAAAGCTCGTCCAAGTGAGGCATGATCTGTCCCGAAAGTGTGGTGGCAAGCTGTGAGAAGGCACGTCACAAAACAGAAGCACTTCTCTGACTCTTGAAACATGCGAATCCTCCTTGGAAGAGCGGAGCACGAAGCACTCAAAGGCGTTCAAGCAATTCTCTACAACCTGGTGGCACGGTTTGAGCGTTGATGTCGTTGAACCGCTGGCACATCGCCAAAACAGAGTGCCTCGTGGTCTTTCTCGTTATCACCCTCCATGGAGACGTCTTCTTGCGTCGCCTGGCTTCTGGCTGTGACGCCACGACGATCTTGCCACTCGACGGAAAAGCCCATAGAACCTGGTTCACGATTTGGAAGAAGAGCGGCGCGATCTCTTTCAAGTGCTGACCGATTCGGAAACCTGCTCACATGCAAGAAGTAGATAGAATAACGCACGTCTTGCTCTCATCCTGTTAGCATATCAGCGTCCTGAGATCCGGGCCCACATTCCTACTGACGGTGCTGATGCACTGGATATACCTGGTCACCCAGTACATGCCGGGTCGCAAGCACGATACAAATAAAGCCTGCTCGACATGAAACCTGTAAGATAAGCCACTTTTGCTTTTCAGATTTGGATCCTGCTTGTCGAACATCGGCAAGCAACGTCCTCGTTCAATGGCTTGCATGACAGTATGGTCCTCAAGCTAAAGGCACGAGGACTGCCGGTCCCTGTCCTCATCAGGGTATCTAGCTGACGATCTGCGAGAACTGCGGACAGAGCGCCGATGCAAGCGATCACCTGTGACAAGAAACAGTTCCCCAACAGTTGTGACGGTACCAAATCGGAGTCCGAAGGCATAACTTCCCCTTACTTGGTACTGAGGCGGGCAAGGTTGCTGATAGTCTCAGCCAGCTCTACTTATTGAACCCAGACGGGCATGACGAGAACATTAACCCACAAGAAAGGTGAGTGGGCTCTGAACACCCTAAAAGAAAACAGGTAAATCCTGCCTAAAGCTTCAAAAAGATAAAAATGTAGATGATGGGCGGCAAACACGAAATCCGACGAGGGCTGGCTATGTCCCCAAAACCGTCAATCTTTTTGGGGCCTTCTGGGAGGAGTGGGAACGGTTCACGAAAGATTGTACCCTGGATGGAGCGAACAGCCGAAACTCCAACAAGAACCTGAACCTGAAATGTTGCAACAGAGATGAGGATGAGATGCTGCTGGAAGGAAGCGCTAGAATGCAATGCGAGTCTTGTCTCCAATAGATGTGGCGGCATCGGTCCGTTGGGTGGATACTTCTCCCTAAATCACCGTGCATCCAGGCTTGGACTCGAGAAGCAGTCCCTGATAGTTTTTGTCGGTCATGGAGTCGGGAGTTGTAAGGCGCCTTGAAAAGCTACGGTATTGACAACCCACAGCGAATGCTTGCATGCACGAGCAACCTTCTGGGGGAGGTTTGGTATTTCGACATCGCCTGACTTCACCCTCACGCCCCACGAGCCATTTTAGGCACCGTTCGAACACACACCCACACTCAGGCTTGGCGAGAACTGACGCAAATGAACCCTGGACTGCATGATACGAAATCAGATTGCAGCAACCATGCAGGAATGCATCCATCAACGTCTTCGTTGGGCAGTGAATCATGGAAGGCTCACTGCCCCCCTGCTGCAAAATGAGGTGTCATCCAACTCGCCATGTTCAGGCGTGTACACGCACACGATGAACATGTACACTAGTGGCATGTAATTCTGTTGCAAGCAGTATGGCTGACAGCACTTAGCAATTACCAAGGTTGCACCTTCTTCCGCAGCGATGTCTTGTGCTGCTTGGGCTTTAGCAGGTTAAGCAGCGAAGTCGCCATGTTGTCCTGCGAGAGAAAGCAAGGTTTGACAGAAATATATGATGTGCTATTCACTGCGAGGCCTGATCGGACCACTGCATTATACGGTTGTCGCCTCAGCTTCCCATGCATTAAATTATTGGAGCACCATCGCAAGCGGGGCCACTGCCAAGACAACTTGGCTAAAAGAACCAAGAAGACTCAAAGCCTCACTACAGCAGTCTTCTATAGCAAGCTCCAGGGACCCCTGAATAAACTGTTCAGACCATCACGCTTGACGAACTCCACACGTGCGTTCCCACATGGCCCACATGGAAATTGCAGCATGTTGACAAGCCCACCGATCGTAAACTGGGAATAGAATTAGTTAAAGTTCCTTGATGGGCTACCATGGAACACACAATGAAATCACAAATGCAGTGGACAAGTACTCCACAACCCAGGCGACATGGAGACGAACATGCTTAGGAGCTAATCCTTGAGATCGGAGTGCACATCGCGATGACAAAGACAGATCTTGTGGCACTGATTGTTGGCTCGACACAGTAGCCGCAGCAAAATTCAACCCGCTCATGACCAGCAACGAAGTTTCATCTTACTCTATTAAGGAACCTGGCCTCATAGCATAACCGTCTATTTACTACTACTTGTTGTTCTATGTGCTCGTCTTGCCGATTTACTACATCTCCACTCCATCCAACAGCACGGCTT